ATACAAAAAACACCTGCTTCCTTGTTTACTAGTTTTCTGAACATTCCCCGCCCTCAAGGGCTACTTTGTTTCTTGAGGTTACAGAACATTCATCTTGTTTCTAAGGCAACCTCTGAAGGTAAGCATCGGCGTTGGCAAGGACACGGTTCCCCATAACATAATCTCCTAACTATTTGCAACGGAGGGTAAACTTAAAATGGAGCTTCTTTGGCTGACACCGCTCCCCACAAAGATGAACTAGAATTGAATTTTTCTTCTAGTTTTAATGTACAACTTTCGAGATTTGCTGCATAGTTTCCAATTTTGATTTTCCTTATTTTCTCTTGAGTTAGTTCCATCTGTCTTTGATACATTTTAATCTCTTTTGGATTTATCTTTACATTAAATACAGTCTAGGAGATTATATAACATCATTGAAATTATAGTCTGGTATAATTTTCCATTTTCTTTCCTAAATTTTCTCTTTTTAAAAAATTCTGTGACTTCTTTTAAATGGATGAAGAAATGATGATCTATTCCTTAGATTCCCACATTCCTTAATTTCTCTCATATACTCTTTTTTTCCACATTCTAAAAGAGTTCATAACTATTTCATCCAAGAACAATTTTATTAAAACAATACAAATTTAATTAACTAGCTAATCTATGGACAATTTTAGTTTTAGGAATCACATTTGAAATTTCCCAAAGCTTTATTTTTGTAAGCTAACTTTCATTTTCCATTGCAGTTTTTATTTTTGTATTGATGAAGTATCTTCTTTTATTTCTCTCTTCTTCAAATTTTCCCTGGATCTTTTTTTTTAGCTAATTATTCCTTTTGTTCATCTCCATTTTCCTCTCACAAACTGTAGAGTTTCTTCAAATGCCTGACAATCCTTGCATATTTGTTCATATATTTTTGTTCCTTTTTGTGTTCATATTTATGAATAAGCAGCTTGGTTGATAGACACAGAGAGCTCACATGGGTTCCTCTAGAGTTTGTTTCTCTGGCATCCTCTCTCCTATGGGGGAAAACTGTGTGTTCTGTGTGTCTTATCATATGGCAGACATTTGTTTAGGGTGACCTTACGTCAACATTAAGAAGGTAGGACTCAAACTGGACCCTGTGTTCAAATTTCAGATCTGATACTTATTATTTGTCTAAATGTAGGTGAGTTACTTAACATTTAGTGTACCAGTTGCCTTGTCCCTTAATAGTGATAATAGTATCTACTATGTAAGGTTGTTGTGAGAATGAACTGAATTAATTTACTTAAATAATTTAAAACACTACTTATACATTATTTGGAGTTGTGAAATACAATAAGTAGTCTGATAAGCTGAGAGACTCAAATGTGAAAATACAAAGGCATATCAGAAGTAATTTAACATAACTTTGTTTTAGGACAAACTTCCCTATCTTTTTCTTCCATTACTCACCCCTTTATGTTTTATGGAAGTTTAGAGGTGTTTTGATCTCTTGCTTTTCTTTTAGGCATGAAGACTTATCGCTGCTTTCCTAAGAAAAAACACTGTAGAAAGCAGTTTGTGGATTCATCCTAGGCTAAACACTGGAAATCTTTTCCTATTTGGGGGGATGGCTGTAAGAAGAGAGATGTCCCCTAATGAGGGAGATTAGACAGTCACTAAACACCTTGACTGTTGCTAACATTGGAGTTCTCTCTAGCTACATACCATGGGGTTTTTTAATGTCCAGCATGAGGAAAAACTCTCACCTTTGCCTATTCATATTATGGGCTTTGACCTCTTCTTCTTGGGCTTCTCAATTAATTTGATCCTATTCAATTATAGATTGTTTGAAAAAGTCAACCTCTATGTGCAAATGAAAGCTAATTTCATTTTAAGAATTGTTTGTGGTTATCCACATTTATACATTCTTACTATTATTACACAGTTCAGAGGAAGAGAAGAAAATAAAAGCACGTTTGGTGTACTAACTTTAACCAGAACTTATGCAAAGATGTAACTTGAGATAAAACAAATAGCCTTCCAAGAACTAAAAAAAATTATATTTTTTCAGCTTATTATGACTCCTTCCTAAAAAAGAAATGCATTTATATACTCCTTGTACTTATCTTTTCACCATAAAAGTACTTTACTTGAAGATTAATCTTCATGCAGTCATTGGACTAAAGTGTGAAAAATTATGATTCCATCATAAAACAACTTAAAATTATGAAAATATTACTTAAAATATCCCTAGCTATAACAAAGTGACAAGTGATTGACAAAATCAATTGTTACTTGTAATCCATGTCATTTTCTGGAGAAAATATTCTCACTGGGGGAAGTTCATAAGGGAAGATAGTAAGAGAAATTTTGTTTGTTTTTGTGGTGGTAGGGATTGAATCCTGGATCTTGTGCTTCCTACCTAAGTACTCTACCACTTAGCTACATCCTTAGCCCTAGGAGAAAGATTTTTTTAAATCTTAGATTTTTACCCCACAAAAGAGGAAATGTGATTACTGTGCAAGAAAAAATCAATCTTTGGCACCACTATAAATAAGCAATTGAGCTTCCCCCTATCATGAATATATAGGGGGTAGAGTGACAGCCATGATAGAAAAGTGAACTTTGCATTTCTGTTCTTATGTAAGGAAAGCAAATATTGTCAAAACTTTCAGTAGTGAGTCAGTGGTATCAGGATACTGTCTCTTTGTTATTCTGAAACATGGTAAAATGAATCAAAATTATTCTTTTATTTTTCCTGAGGAATATTCTCATTTTACAAATCAAAGAAAAAGATGACATGTATTCCACATTCACCAGAGATTATTCTATGTGATATAAACA